ACATCATTGTTGATTGCCCAACTGCCATTGATCCCTCCACTGTTGATACCACTCTTCCTCCCACCACTACCATTCTTCCCTCCACCAGTATTGCTCTTCCCTCCACCAGTATTGCTCTTCCCTCCACAAGTATTGTTTTTCCCTCCACCAGTATTGCTTTTCCCTCCACCAGTATTGCTTTTCCCTCCACCAGTATTGCTTTTCCCTCCACCAGTATTGCTTTTCCCTCCACCAGTATTGCTCTTCCCTCCACCAGTATTGCTCTTCCCTCCACAAGTATTGTTTTTCCCTCCACCAGTATTGCTTTTCCCTCCACCAGTATTGCTTTTCCCTCCACCAGTATTGCTTTTCTCTCCACCAGTATTGCTTTTCTCTCCACCAGTATTGCTCTTCCCTCCACCAGTATTGCTCTTCCCTCCACCAGTATTGCTCTTCCCTCCACCAGTATTGCTCTTTCCCCCACCAGTATTGCTCTTCCCTCCACTAATATTGCTTTTCCCTCCACCAGTATTGCTCTTCCCTCCACCAGTATTGCTCTTTCCCCCACCAGTATTGCTCTTCCTTCCACCAGTATTGTTCTTCCCCCCACCACTACCACTTCTCCTTTCACCAGTGATTTTTTTACACTCAGTACTATCAGCATTACAGCAAGTATTCCACTCACTAGCGCCTGTGTGACTCCCACCCTTAACAATAAAGGTGCTTTCCTTTTAAAATTTTGTTCATTATTATTTAAATTTTTTGTAGACGAATGCTTGCATGAAAATGGTTATTGTGAACATATATGTACTGATACAGATTGTTCTTATAACTGTTCTTGTTTTATGGGATATGAAATAAATAGGACAAGATTTTGCTCAGGTTTCTAATTATACACAGGCATGGCATATATTGTATTTATAGATATTGATGAATGTATGAAGAATATATCAAACTGTAATCAACAATGCAGCAACACACTGGGCAGCTACACATGCTATTGTTACAGTGGGTATGAACTGGACAGTGATGATCACACATGTATTGATATTGATGAGTGTGCTGTTGATAATGGAGAATGTGAACAAAATTGTCACAACACAAATGGAAGCTATTATTGTACTTGTAAAGATGGCTACACAATGGATGACAACAGGAAAAACTGTTCGGGTAAATGTTGTATCTAACTTTATTATTATTAAAAGTATTTTGCAGACATTAATGAGTGTGATGATAACATATGTGAACATGAGTGCAGTAACACAATACCTTTCTATGACTGCTTTTGCAATAATGGCTACAGATCTTATGATATCAATTTTTGCAAAGGTAAACATTGATTGAAGCATTGCTATGATTAATAATAATAGATATTGATGAGTGCATTGAAGGCATATCTGGCTGCAATCAACTTTGTTCTAATACTCTTGGTAGCTATGAATGTAGCTGTGAGAGAGGGTATCTACTAGAACCTGATAATCATACTTGTACTGATATTGATGAATGTGTCA